AGCTTGATAGTGACGACGACCGGGAGCGGTCCGGGAGAGGCTTGCCGGAAGACACACCGGAGATCAACTTGCACGTGGAAAGGCCCGGGGCTATCCACGAAGTTACCCGACCGGGAGTTTGGCCCTTGCGAGCGATTCTTTGCGAGGGACTCCAACGAGGACTAAGGGGAAGCTTACGCGCTTCTCGATACCTCGGTAAAAATACCAGAGTCGTCGACGGGAGTTTGCATATCTCTACCTTACTCTTTAGCTTCCGCATTTACATTGTTTACCTAACTCATCTTGCGGTAGAGATAGCAACACACTAGCAAAACCGTAGCTGCACATTTAGATAGTTTATCTTTTATAAAGGTTTTGCTAAGAATAGAAAAAGATGTCATAGTTTAGAGTTAGAGTTTTAAATTGCCTAATTCACCCTCCTCTTAGGCGTCACGGTCCCTTTCAATTGGTATCAGAGCCGGTTGGCTCAATTGGGACCTTTGGCTTCATCGCCGTTGAGCCGACGCTATTTAGAGTAGTTGGATGGATACCTCTAGGCCTCCGCACTTTGACAGCACTAACTTTTAGTCGCTGTCCCATCGAATGTTTGGGCACATGCATGGAGTATTAAATATATACTAATTACGAAACTAATTGCATAGTTTGCGACTAATTTACAAGACGAATCTTTTAAGCCTAATTAGTCTATGATTTGATAATGTGGTGCTACAGTAACATATGCTAATGACGGATTAATTAGGCTTAAAAAATTCATCTCATGGAGTACTGATGGATTATATAATTTGTTTTTTTATTAGTATCTGAACACCCCATGCAACATCTTTCCAATATACCTCTTAAATTTTAGTCACCGGAAACACCACCTTAGGGTAGCACGTCTCTTAGCTTGGCTCTGTCTGCAACAAACTGTGTGGAGGTGGACGCGGCACTGGCACCCCAGGCACAGGAATAGGAGGCTCTGGAGGTGGACGCGGCTCTGGCACCCGAGGCACTAGAATAGGAGGCTCTGGCTTGATGGGAGGACGACCACGTGCCACCTGAGGATGCTCTTGGCCTACACGTGCATGTAACACCAAGGAAAATAATCAATACTCGTTCATTTGTGCTACCTCAGTTTCAAATTATACTTTCCTCTAACTTTGTTTTCAGTTCTAATAAATTCTCAAGGAATGTGTTTCAATACTGTATTTATTTGAACTTGTGCATGCTAATATTTTTTCAAAAAAACTTGGCCAATGTAAGGGTAGTTAGTTTGATCTAGCACAACACTAAAATGAACTATTAATAGGAAAACAAGGAGTAATATGTAACAACTAGAAAGCAACACGCGGCGTTGCCACGCGGCTTACATGGAGTGCTGCCATTATTGTGAATCTGGTTTTAATGATGTCTAATACAATACAATGTGGCTCAATGTCACCTGTCACTACTTGTTGGTACTCATGATAAGTATTTGAGAATCTAAGGTGTTACGAGTCAGTGACATCATAAATCGTATAATAGCAAGCATAGCATGATGGCATGGTCTATCTACTTCAACGAAAAAGGTTACGTTTCAACTCCAAATTGCACAAATAGGAATATGGTATTCTTATATATTGTATTGTATGTATGCCTATGACCAAGTCGCATGTATAAAATCAGTTTTACTTTAGCTAAAATCTCGAAACACTATTAAGCAGCATGGTAGTGACTCTCCACTACAACCTGCCGACATTATAGTTGCAGACTGATCACGATTCACAAGCCATCATTGCCTGAGCTCGAGCTCTGCTTCCACTTGCAGTATGAAGCAAAAAAGTGAAGGAACTGCTGAGAGTAGTAAAAGCAAAAAGAAATATCTAAGCTTTACAGCATAAAGAACTTTGGACCATGCGTCATTACTTGGAACATTGGGGTAATGCCTGATCCTTCAGCTATCATTCCAATGGCTCTCACTTCTCCAGGTTGGTACTTAAATGACCCTATGTTAGGGAAGCATTACTTCAATATTGAAAGGCCACAATGCATACCATGAGTATATGTACATTTTTATTAGTAAAATACCTCCTCAGATTGAAAATAGATATTATATTATCGTTCTCAACTTCTTTCAGATACATGTCATCCTAGAACTTCTGGGTATTTTTTTTGCTGTTTTATCCATTTCTTGCCTTTGCTAAAATAAATGCTATCACTCCCACAAAACAAACAAACATCTCTTTCCAGTGTCGCAAAAAGGAAGGTCCTCAAAAGATTATAGATAAAATAGTATTATAAGGTGGACCATGTATGAATATCTTTGGTCCTTTTGCAGACAAATAATTGCCGATTTTCATCTAACAGAATTGCTGACACGTTCTTCCTTGGGGGTATATCTTCTGATCGACCATATCGAACACAGTATGAGTTAGCTCTTGAATTTGTATAGATCATAAGCAAAAAGGTTTAGGCACCATGGTATGGTCAAGATCTGAAGTGATCATAATGTGGGCTGAAGCATCGAGCCTATCCGTCGAAGTGCTCCTGTGAAGATTTGTGGGAAAAGTTGGGTGCTTCTGCTGTTCAGTTCCCACAAAGGAGATGGCAAACAACAACAATTTGTTCCTTGTGTGTTCTTTATCTACCCTTTGGTCAACCAGTGATGAGGTCTTGTTCAATATTATTGATGAAGAAGAGAAGGTAAATATGATTTGTGCCTCAAGAAATTTAGGCCACTAACAATCGTCCTTAAGGACTTAGAAACAGAGAGGCAAGAGATCATCACATTATTGAATCATGTAAAATTTAGGCAAGAGCTTCAGTTAATTTATGGATCCCATGAAGTTCACAAGACATGACATTAAACATTTGATATATACTCTTGAAGAAAAATAAATTCAATCCAGGTATTATGGATGGATGTGTGTCAGCTCTAAGACATTACTGAGTTTCAGCCTGTGAGTTGAAGCAGATAGGAAAATTTTAAAATTTATACTACACAGGCGAAGCAAAAGCAAGTGCAGGATACAAAAGGATTCTTATACAATTGGGTGAATTTACTTTCATATTTAGCAGAAGTGTATCGTGGCAGCAATACTGAGCACCAATTGAGAATATATCATGTAAAGAGATTGAGGGTAGACCTTCCATTTCCCAGTTGTCAGACCTTACACCCTAGCACTTTGTCGTGGATTCATCTTCTCACGTTGTGTATTTCCCAGTACAGAATCGCCCCCCGATGGAGGAACCCCTGACCATCTGATGCTCCTAAAACACGGCAAAGAAAACAAATAAAGCTTGTTGCTCTTTTTTAGAGTTAGAACTTACTTCCTAGACATTACTAGACAATATTTACCACCGACCAATGAGCTTGTAAGAACAGCTCCAAATTGACACCACTAGCTAATATGGCTAACAGAGGCTCTGACGCTCTATTTTAATCTGAATTACTTTATTGATTGCTTTTTAGCTCATGGCTGTTTTGTGTTGGTACGAGGTAGCTATTTTCAATTCTAGTGGAATGGTACTTGATTGCTCACTACATGCGAGTCACCGCCAGGATGGATTGACATACAAAGCAATAAGCTGTCTCGAATTGATTTCAACTGGCAATGAGGGAAAATGCAGGGGATTAATAACCATCTGCAGTTTCATCCACAAGCAAAACTGAACGTGGTAGCAAAGTAACCCCAATTAACTGCACATATCCCACAACACCAGATTTTTATCGAACGAATTAGTCCAGATTGTCAGATTGGGTACACAAATTTACAGTTTACAGATGGACACAGGACGGATTCCACTAACCCAACACAGAGATGCACACGGTACAGCGGACGGAGGTAGCAGAGGCACGGACCCGAGCACCACGGGCATGCGTCCATTGGTCAGGCGACGTAGACATAGTCGTCGTCGTCGCGGTGTAGAGGACACCGCGGAGGTAGCCGAGGCTGGTGAGCAGCACGCTGATCCAGAACTCCATCTGCCCGGAATGGCAACGGTCTGTAAGAGCAGAGCAAGGAGGGAAGGGATCAGGAAGAGGAGGGAGCGGGGTGGAGCGGGACTCACGGAGCAGCAACCGTGGCGGAGGAGGAGGACCGAGCACCCTGCCTGGCGTCCAGCATCGATCTGATGGCCTGAGCCCGTCTCTTCGCCGACCGGCGTCCGGCACTCTGCCCGGCGTTGCGTGCGCAGGCATTGGGGGCCGGCGGCCGCCCCGTCGCCTTGCCGATGGGTCGTATCCGCGTCGCCTCGCCTGCGTTGCCGCCCCCTCTTCCATTCTCGGAGGCCAGAGCACGACGGGCCGAGAATCTTCGCGAGTTACCGGATGGACGAAGCGGGCGACGCTCGAACCGATCCGCAATCGGACGGACAGTATTGCTTCTTCGCCAGATCAGACGGCCAGAGCGTTAATGGGTGACGTGGCCCTATCCATTAGCCCGCTTTTGGAAGCAAGATTCCTATATAGAGATTCGAAGTATAAGCAGTGATCTCTGTATATATGTATATACCATGGCATGATGGAGAGGTTGAACACATGATTACAGGTATCACGAAAAAAAAATACTTGTCAGGTATACATTTCTCGCTGTATTGCTTTTGATGACCGCCATAATATAAGAGGACAATACCACTCTTTTTTTTTTCTCAATCTATTTTCCTGTTCACTTTCTTTGGTGACGATGAGAGATGCGCTTCTTAAATGTATTTGTTTTCCTTCTTTCCTTGTGCAGGTGTTTATATAGAAGTAAGAATCTATGTGAAAATTAGATTTATTCATTTCTAAATTAGTTTTTATATCTATATCAATATCTGTTTATATATTTGCTATTCAGGACCCAGCGCTCTAAACAATATTTAGGGCGCCGGCGGAGCGCCGCCCAACTCCGGCGTCGACTGCAGACCGCAATTACCTGCCCGCAAGAGTAATTATTGCTACCAATCCAGTTTCTATTCCGCAAATACACCGTATATATATATTAAAAAAAATACACAAACATCCCTTTCAGTCTCATTTGCTCCCGTCATTTTCTCTCTCTTCAGTCTCTCCTGCTATTTCTCTCTCCTCTCAACTCGACCAAAGAGAGCGGCGGCAGGAGCAGGACCCAATCCCCATCACCGGCGGCGGATCTCCCTCTCACGCCACGGCGTCTCCTGCTCCCACATCCACCGGCGGCCTCCAGCCTGTGGTGCTCGTCCCTCTCATCGGCGCCGTCCTCGCCGGCGGATCCATCAAGGGGCCAGCCGATCCATCGGGAGGAAGCGGGTGGAGGCCTTCGCGGCGGTGGTGGCAGCCTCCTGGTGGCTGTGCTCCGGCGGTGGTGGCATGCCCTCGACTCGCGTGCACGACGCACCCGCGCCCCGGCGGTGGCGGCGCACCCTCGCTCGACGCGGGCGCACGACGCCTCCTCCTTCCCCAACGGCGGCGGCGCCTCCTCCTTCCCCATCCGCGGCGGTCGCAGCTGCTCCTTCCCCATCAGGACGGCCACACCTGCCTCACGCCCCCAACAGCCCCACCTCCCCGGCGCCCCCCCTCCACACCGGCCTGTCCCGATCCGCGCGAACGGCGGCAATCGGTGGTGGGGCAACCCGATCCGCGCGCACGGCGGCAATCGGTGGTGGGGCAACCCGATCCGCGCGCACGGCCGCTCCCTTGGTTATCCCAACCTTGCCCGCTGCAGCGCCTTCCCCAGGGCTGGATCTCCGACGGCTGGATCTGGGCGAATCTCCATGGCGACACCTCCCTTTCCCTCCGGCCATGGAGCTGCCCTCCCACTGACGGCGTACCATGGGGTCATTGCAAGGCGTCTGTACTTCATGGCTGAAGCTGCATGTCTCCACATCATCATGGATTAATTCGTCAGCAAAGTAGTGAGTCTCTTGTTAGTTTCAGAATTCGTCAGGTTTTAATTAGTTTAATTTGTTTAATTTGTGTACTAGGTGTCCGCTCGTTATCATGCCTTGTTTAGATCTCCAAAATTCCAAGTTTTTTCACTCTTCTCCAGCACCATTCCCTATTAAATGTAGGTAAAAAAATAACTAATTGCACAGTTTGTTGGAAATCAGGAGTCCGCTCGTTATCTAGCTATCGTGACCATATCTTCAATCAGGCCCTAGCTATCGTGACCATACCAGGCCCTTATGTTTGTGTGCAGTACGAACGAATTAAAAACAGCATCAAGTGCATCTAGGCAACAAAAACAACCATTTTTATTGTGTTGCCATCAAACAGATGCCTGCGGTTACATTGCTTAATGTGGGCAGCAGCATTCCCATTTAGCATCCTGTCTCTCTATGTAGTAGCTGTGTTTGGTTTCGAAGCCGTTTTCCTTGCACATATGCTTGCAGCCAGTCGGAGATAATCTGTTATTGTTAGGGTAGCACGTCTCGTACTTTGGCTCTGCCTGCAACAAACTGTGTGGGGGTGGTCGAGGTGGACGAGGCGGCATTGGCGGCATAGGAGGCTTGGGGGGACGAGGACCGCGTACCACCTGGGGCTCCTCTGCCTGCAACAACCTTTGTGGGGGTGGTGATACAAGTGGATGCGGCCCTGGCACCCAAGGCACTGGCTCCCAAGGCAATGGAGGCATGGGGGGATGAGGACCGCGTACCACCTGAGGCTGCTCTACATGCAACAAACTGTGTGGGGGTGGTCGAGGTGGACGAGGCGGCATCGGTGGCATAGGAGGCATTGGAGGCTTGCGGGGACGAGGACCGTGTACCACCTGCGGCTGCTCTGCCTGCAACAAACTGTGTGGGGGTGGTGATACAGGTGGATGCGGCACTGGCACCCAAGGCACTGGCTCCCAAGGCACTGGTGGCCTGGGGGGACGAGGACCTTGTGCCACCTGAGGCTGCTCCTGGCCTACACGTGCATGCAACACAATGCAAAAAAATCAAAACACGATGATTTGTGCTGCCTCCATTTCAAATTATACTTTCCTTTAACTTTGTTTTATGTCAATTTCTCTCAACAGCTAAAACATCAAAATAGTTTTAATAAATTCTCAATGAATGTGTTTTAATACTGTATTTATTTGAACTTGAGCATGTTAATATTACTATAAAAAAAACTTTGCCAATGTTAGTGTAGTTAGTTTGACTTAGCACAAAACTAAAATGAACTATTAATTGGAAAACAAGGAGTAATATGTAACAATTTGATGTATAATTAGTCATCTCTATATATATGTTTATACCATGGCATGACGGAGAGGTTGAACACATGATCACAAGTATCAGGAAAAAAAATACTCACTGTATTGCTTTTCAGGACCGCCATAATATGAGAGGACAATACCACTCTTTCCTTTCTTTTCTCACTCTATTTCCCCGTTTCACTTTCTTTAGTGATGATGAGAGATGCTTCCTAACTGTATTTGTTTTTCTTCTTTTGCTGTGCAGGTGTTTATATAGAAGTAAGGATCTATGTGAAACTTAGATTTATTCATTTCTAAATTATTTTTTATATCTCTATCAATATCTGTCTGTCTGTCTATCGATTTATTGATCTACCACTACTGGAAACATAAAAAATTCTGTCGGTAGAGCTACAACCGACAGAAAATTACAATTTTTTCTATCAGTATCGTAAAAACCGACAGAAAACTGCAAATTTTTCTGTGGGTTAGCGTAAATACACACAAGAAAACTGCAAATTTTTTTGTGGGTTGATAATTTTTCTGTCGTTTTTTAATGAACCGACAATAAAATTACAGTTGAATCCGCGATAGAAAACTTACCGAGCAGCTAACCTAGGCCTGGGCCGTGCCGGCCATTCAGCCCACCCGAGAGGTGCTACACTGTACTTGCACGCATATAAAACATAGGGTGCACACCGGCTAGGGTTTGGCACCCACACCTACCGCTACCGGCCTCCTTCCACACGCAACACGCGCTCTCTCTCCCTCTGACACCCGCGCCACCGGCCTCCTTGCCCCTCTATCCATTAGCTGCAGCGGTGTAGATCCATGGAGGCGCGTCGGACGGCCAAGCCTAGGAGGCAGTGGCCGCGGGCGGTGGCAGCGTCTGCGCTGATCCGGGCGATTGTGGCCGCGCAGATTTGGCCAGAGACTGTGGGCGGCGGTGGTGGATGTGCGGACTCGGACCATTAGATGGCGGCGGCGGACGTGTGGGCTGGGGACACGAGACGGTGGTGGAACCTCGTAGGAAGCTGTGGGTGGCGGCGGCCGCGCGGGCTTGGATCCGGAGATGGTACAGCAGCCCTAACTGCCAAGCTCGCCGCCTGCGCTGGTGCTATTGGTCGGCAGTACAAGAGGACTTCTCTACATCGCCCCTGGAGATCCTGCCGTCGAGGGCTCACCCTGACTGGACGCGAGAGGTATGTGCTTGTTCATGCATCTTGATTGGTTAATCTAGTAATTGGAGATTGGAGATGGCTGGGTGAGCAATCTGACTGCTCCGTGCAAGCATGCAGTAAATTGTAGATAGAGTTTTTTTTTTATTCAATACACAAGCATGCAGTAAATTGTAGATAGATTGTGGGAGTAAGTTTCAGGCTATCATGTCTCAAAAAAATATGATAAACACATAATGTCTGCTTTGTGCAATTTGGATAATGAGAAATTTTCAACTTCGAACCATCCTATTCCTTATGAAAAATGCTGTGATAAGAATATGCTGCCTTATGATTGCCTTATTAAAAATGTTGTGTTTCTCAATTTTCTAGTACATAGCATTTCTTAAATGTTAACCGAATATGTGCTGCCTTTATACAACTTGTTTTCTTATGGTTGGCAATTGTTACACAACACTACAGGATGTATTTCATCCCATGTGTTTCTCTTTTAATTTGTTATAAATTGTAAAATATAAAAATATGTCAGATGAGTGAATCTAGTATTAAATAGCTGTTAAAAATGTGTAAAAGCTACTTCCACTCCAGTGTCGGTAGACTCTGCACCTGTTGTGACATTTCCACTTTTTCAGGATGGGAATGCATTTGCTCGTGAGCACAAACAGATATTCGGACCTGCAAGCCTTGTTGGTGGGGGCCTAACCAGTGAAAGGGAAAGAATGGCAGCACAGGTTTTTCAGACTGGTTACAGGTGTGAAGTTATATGCCACCTTCCGGTACACTAAAAAGCGTTCTATTTTCTATATTATGCATCTCTGCTAAAGTGCTATAATGCTTGTGCTGTAAAGCTGTGTTATCATGGAACATGTAATAATCATTGTTTCCTCAGTTGCTAATAAATGAACTTCGAGTTTTCCTTGTAAATGTGACCATTGGCTATCACAATAATCATAAATAAGAAGCTATTCCATTTGATATTTTCTGGTAGAAACCAATGCTAAAAAATTCTATAATGATAGTTGGTTGAAGTGTTAATCTTGTACTTGTTCCTTGTCAATATTAGGATTATACAGAATCTTCTACATGGTTGCTTGAAGTGTTAGTTGCATCTGAGAAATGATATTATCTCGAAGTCATTGCTAGTAGGAAATTTATGCTGGTGTAGTGCCAGCAGAAACCTCATCAACATAATGTGCATTACTTTTAATGGTATAATGTTCTATTGCAGGTTTTGTCCGATGAGGATGAAGAACCCTACTGATGCCAGTATTTAAAGACGGGTAGTGGAAGACAGGCTAAACCTTTGTATACACAGCATTCATGAAATACAGCCTCAGCTAGATTGCTAGATTGTTTAGAGGACATTAATGGCGTGAAGATTCAGTATCTGTTATAGACAATTGATGGTTTGTGACAGTTTAGATATGATATTTCTAACTATTGGTGCCATGTTTGAACTTAATAAATTATATACATGGATTGATTTTGTTATAGTTTTGATGTCATTTGAATATAGTCATGTGTGTTGTGCCCTGTGTAATCTATTAAATGAGGCTGCTATACAAATGATCCAAATTAAATTTGAGATTGTTCAGATCTCCATATTCCTATCGGTGGATTTATATTTTTCCCGTAAAATAACCCAAATAAATTTGAGATTGTTCAGATTTGAATTTCCCTGTCAGTTGATTTATATTTTCCTGTCGGTTACTTGCTTATGGGCGCAAATTTTGCTATCGAGTTGTACCGACAGGAAATGGAATTGAACCGACAGAAAATGAGAGTACCGATAGGGAAAATTTTCCACCGACAGAAACATTCTATATCTCTGTCGCTTTAGTCCTGTCGGTATTAATTTACCAATTTCTCTATCGGTATTTAGGATTTTTCTGTCGGTTTTCCCCCAGCAGGGAAATTTTGCTTTCCAGTAGTGTACCTACCTATGTATCAGTATATCTTTCAATCTGCCGGTGTGTCTAGATAGAAGGTGATGTCTATCAAGTGCAAGTGCATTCTAGCTCTTTGCATGCCTACGCATCGAATTTTATACGACACACTAAGGGTGCTAGCTTTTGTCGCGCCAGTGGCCCTTGCCTATCCTATGTATTTAATTCTAGTAAGGCCCTCAAGAGTGATTTTGTTGGAACAGTCAATAGGGCGCAAGCATGTAACTATAATATTTACTACCTTATTCATTCACAACTGTAAATGTACTACTTTGTTCACGTATCACCGTAAGACCTCATGTGGATGTCTAGAACGTATGAATTTTGGCTCTCGTAGTAGTAAATCAAATAGATTATCTATGTCAACCTTAAAAGGTACTATTATGATCGTGTTGGAGAAGTTGAAAATCAACAATTTTCTTCTAGAGAAGTAGATCGTCCGAGTATGTAGCAATAAATTCTGAACTTGTTGTCAAATGGTGATGGAAGCTAAATGTCAACTTCTGTTTATCTTACATTATATGTGTATTCAAAATTTGTATTTTTATTTTTTAATTTTAACAGAAAAGTTTTTTTGGAAGCGGCTTGGAAATCTATTTCTAGAGGTGACTTATGTTCCTAGCCACCTCTAAAAATTGATCTCAAGGGGCAGTTGGGTAGCCGCATTTAGAAACGATTGATTTCTAGAGACACATTTGTAGATGCCCACAGAACATCCATCACTATAAACCATTTCTTGCCGCCTTGAAAGATCTTTTCCACAATGGTACGGGCGCATGCAAGTGGCATGGAGCACTCATCGGCAAGTGCTGGGCGGCAAGGCAGTTGCTGGGAGCGAGCACAAGTGAGCAGCATGATACGCACAAGGGCTAGCATAGCCGCTGGCGAGTTGGAGCGGAGCGATGGCTGATGGTGAGTTTGAGTGGTAGCGTTGCACGACCGAGGCACAGAACTGGCGATGCCATTGCAAGCAAACACGGTAGCAGTGGCCCCATAACGCCATCGAGAGGACAATGGGGCACTTGCACAAATTAGGGCCGCTGCATGGAAAAAAAGTGTATGGCCACAACACCACCAAGCGGTTACTTTTTTGCTATGGTTTTGGAGCCGAAATTGTTTGTCCATTGATAAATTTTTTCGTTCGGTCTTGTATTAAGTTCCGTCACGGACTGGCTGCGAGCAGATGTGCAAGGAAAATGGCCGAGGTAGTCGCGTCAGTCCGTGACGGAACTTTCGCGTCTACCCCGTCACGGACTTTGGCTCTTCTTGCAAAAAGCTGTGTGGGGGTGGTCGAGGTAGACGCGGCGGCCTAGGAGGCCAGGGGGGACGAGGGGGACGAGGACTGAGTACCACCAGAGGCTGCTCTTGGCCTACACGTGCATGCAACAAATTACAAAATATCAAAACACATTGATTTGTGTCGCCTCCGTTTTAAGTCATACTTTCCTCTAACCTTGTTTTATGTCAATTTCTCTCAACATTTAAAACGTCAAAATAGTTTTAATAATTTCTCAATGAATGTGTTCTAATATTGTATTTATTTGAACTTGTGCATATTAATATTTTTTTTGAAAAACTTGGTAGTTTGACTTAGCACAAAACTAAAATGAACTATTATTACCAAAATTTGGAGTAACAAGTAACATTCGATGTACAAGCAGTGATCTCTCTCTCTCTATATATAGATATATATGTATATATCTTCTCATGATGGAGTGGTTGAACACATGATCACAAGTATCAGAAAAAAAATACTTGTCAGGTATACATTTCTCGCTTTATTGCATTTGATAACTGCCATAAGATGAGAGGATGATACTAATCTCTTCTTTTCTTTTTCTCACTCTATTTGTTTTAATTTCTTTTTCGCTATGCAGATGTTTATATAGAAGTAAGGATCTATGTGAACATTAGATTTATTCATTTCTAAATTATTATTTTTATATCAATATCAATATCCATACCTACATCTATATCTGTATATACCTACCTAGCTAGCTAGCTATCTATGTGTCTGTTGATGTATTTATTCTATCAATCTGTATCTATCATTTTATAAATCCCTACTTTTTATCTATCTATATATGTCTATCTATCTATCTGTATGTCTATCTATTTATCTATCTATATGTCTCTACCTACCTACCTACCTATCTGTCTATTTATCTATCTACGTACCTATCTGTCTACCTACCTACTTGTCTATTTGTCTGTCTATCTATCTATACCTACCATCCCAGTTCTCTGTTCTGTTTTGTTTGTATGATTATCTATTTATGCATTTGTATTGCTGTTATTATAATTTATGTACTCCTCATGTTTACTATAACTATTAATTGGTATTGATTATTTTTAAGGTAATGTTCTACAATATATGAGATAATTATTGAGTGGGCTGTGTTGTTTGAATATTGGGTTGCAAATAATCTTTAAAAAAATTGAAAAATTATCGCATGGGCCTAGGTTTAATTTTGGCATGGGCTGGCCTGATATGAGAAAAAATGGACGAAAAAAATCTAAAACAACTATGGGCCACGCTAAAAAATCAGCCTAAACAATATTTGTGGCCCATTTGAAGTCTGCATGTCGTATGGGCATTATAGGCCACATTTCTATTTTATGATGTTTTCAGGATCTGCCAACTCAGCACCATGTCTACATTCGACTCTGCGCACTTGCACACATGACAGGAGTCTATGCATTCGTGATGTAAAAACCAATGTCAAAAATTAATGAAATGAAAAATGCAAACGTCAAAAAATGTCATTTGTGACACGCATTTTTTGATGTTTATATTTTTGTTAACCTGATGTCATAAATGGTCCAATATAACATTGTAACACCCTAAAAATTGCTCCTTTTGAAATAGAGAGAAATTGAATGAATTTTGTATTTATGTGCTCATGAAAATATAGGAAAACAAATCTTGTCATTAAATTAAAACTTATCATAAGGCTTAGCAACATTGCAGTGCATACATGCTGGTGCATTTGATTTATTGTGATGAGTGGTTTCGACTAAAATTCAAAACGAATTCAAATTATTTTGAAAATAGTTTTGAAATAAAAGAAAAACAAAATCAAAAGAGAAAGTTTCCTTCCCTGGCTTTTGGCCCGCTTGGCCTTTCTCTCTCCCCTCTCCCCGAAGCCCAGCCCGAGCAGCTCCCTCTTTTGGCTCCACCGCGCAGGCCCGCTCCCACCTTCCCCATGCGGCCCAGCTTCCCCTTCGTGAGCCAGTAGGCCGGCCCAACCATGCCGCATAGACACGCCCCGCCTCCTCCTTCGCTTAGCTCGCTGACGAGGCAGCCCGCATGTCAGCCGCGTCGTCGTCTTCCTCGCGTCGTTGCCGTGCTCCCCACGCCGCTCCGCCCCTGTAAAAGCCCGCCCTAGTGCCACGCTTCCCTGATCCAGCCCTATCGCGAGCCACCGCCTCCACCCAAGCTCGCCGCGCCGCCGAAACCCTAGCTGCTGCCACCAGAGCTCGCCGTCCTCCCCGCCATGTCCCGCGTCATCTCCGTGCCGTCTTCGACCACGTTAAGACCCTAGATGAGCTCGCCTTGATCCCCGCTTCCACCCCATGTTTTCCCCATGTCGAATCGTGGACTCTAGGGCCCTCTTCGCGCTCGCCAGCAATCTCTTCGCCTCCGGTCATGGCCGACCGCCGCGCCGGTCACTGTAGCCGACCGGCAGCCTCTCTCTCTCTCTCCCCCTCGCATCTGATCTGCACCGCTCGATTTGAGATCAACGGCCCAGGTTAGAAGACACCGTTTTGGCCAGCAATTTTGCTAAAGTGACCCTCGACTTTTGAATAATCTAACACGCAGTCCATGGCGTACTCCCAGAATACGTTTATTGTTGAATGTTGGACTCAGTTCTAGTTTATTTCATACTTAGTCCAGTCTCAGTGGAGAGTTTCATTATGTTGTTTCCAAGACAGCCACGTCATGTAGAATCAAATGAAATATGGATGAAACACCACTTCTCAATGGAGAGTTTCATTCTAAACTTTAGTTGGAGGAAACTGAACAGGCCCTTCATCTAACATTTTTCTAGTTACAATCGGGTAGAACGAGTGACGGTTTACAATCGAGTAGAATGAGTGATACACTCAACCAGGCAGCAGTCACCACAGTCCATGACGATAGTGGTGCAGTGGCTCCTAGAACATCCTCGTACATCGTGGGACCCATTCACCACCGCTAGTAGCCTTCATCGCCACCTGCATATGGTCTGGTTGGTAACACTTTCGATGGCAATAGTGGCGCGGTGGCTCCTAGAACATCTTCGTAGGACCCATTCACCACTGTCGGTAGCCTTCGCCACCACCTC